GGTGGGGGTTGTAACGTGAGGTTTTGTTAATTCACCGGTCCGGCGGAGAGGGGCAGGAGCTGGGGAGACGCCGTCGGAAAATGAATGTTTGGTTTAGTTCTTCTTCTGGTCCTTCAAGAACTGGCGAGGGGAGAAAAAAAAGGATAAACGAAACCCCCATCCGTCCCTGAGCTTCCTAACTCCTCCTGCATCTTTCGAGTGAAAAATAAAGGAAAATATGCGAACGCTGAAAAAGAAAAACAAAACGAAATAAACGAAAATCTCGGCGCGGGTTCGGAGCGGCTGTGAGAGATAACGGCGGTGCAGGACAAGGTACGCTCACATGCATAAAAAGAAAGTGCAGTTCCTCCTCCCACCCCTCCCGGAGCGGCAAAGAAGGCAAGGAGGGGTGCGGAAGGTGGCAGGGGCGAGACAGACAGACGGAGCAGAGATGCGTGTGGCTCCACTTCTGGTACCAAAGGGTTTCGCCTAGAGATGGTCGGAAGAGATAAAGGCTCGGAGAAAAGGGGGCGGCATTTTTTCCCTCTTAAATTGGTATTTAATGGGAAAGCCTATTGGACAGAAACCTGGACACGAGTCACTTAATTGGACTTGACATCTGTCACAGTGTGGGAGTTTTCACAGCCCAAATATTTTCAGCAGATCAGATTCTCGCTGAATCTGTGCCACAAATTATAACAGTCGAGAGCAGCCCATGATATAAACCCTAGCCTCTGGATATACAGTCTCTAGCCATGCTTGCTCCCACTGCCGTCGTCTCCCCCCGCCCAAATATTGGATACCCACTGATCTAGAAAAACACCACTGGCATTTCGCATGTAAGCTAATAAATAAGCTTTAAACATCAATTTGCATCATGTACACCAAGCTTGTGCAGAATCATCAGACTGGTTTCTTAGCTCGTTTATTTTGGCGGTCCCCCTGCCCTGTCTCCCACCTACCCCCAATCCCAGTGCATGGCAGGCACGGACCTGTCAGAGCCAGGGGGACAAAAGGGCTCCCTCACTCCCTCTGCCTCCTGCCCTCCCTGCTCCAGTGCACAGACAATGAGGCGAGGGAGTCAGCCATGAGTCTGTGGCTTTTCTGCTCTCAGGAGACTGGATGGAGCCAGGCCCCTTCGTGCCTGAGTCAGGGGATGCCTGTGACCCAAGTGACTCCTTTTGCTGTCACCCTGTCCAGCCCCTGCCAGATGGCAGTGCCTTCTCTGCTCTGATCCCCATTACCCTTCCTGCAGATCCCTTCAAAAGGGTGCCATGGCCACCTTTCTGGGTGTAATCATCTTCTTCCGTGGGGACTTTTCTGTGCCAGAAGCCCCCAAAAAGGGGCAGCAGGAGGGGTGGGTAAGACAGAGCAGAACTGATTCTGCTGCTCACCAGCAGCTCAGTGGGTTGTTCTGGGTCCCATCAGCAGGAAGCACAGGGGGAGAGGTGGTAGGAGGACACTTGCAGGGATCCCTGAGGGTCATCCATATGCAACAGGCTGGAAGATCTCTGAAAGGGGAGAGATTCTGCACTTGATATGATTTACAGGACCTTAACAAGAATGAGTTGAGTAATACCTGAGTAATTTTGGGTTTTGTCTATTTTTTTTTTTTAATGGTGGATACTGTTGCACAGAATATAACCCCCCTGCATGACACCTGGCCCACCTGGGAAAGAAATGCCTGAAAGTGGATCCTAATGAGCACTTCTTCCAGGGAAATTTGGGGATTTATCTCTCTTCCCCTACCCATAACAAGTCTCCAAGGCAGCAGGAGGCTATCACTTGCTCTGACCCCACATACTGGCACTGGTTCCATGGATATCCAACATGATCTCAGCAGAGCTTCTGCAGATTCTTGGCTAATCTATTCTTGCCTGCATTGGGACATGCCAGGAAGATTCAGATGCAAGTCACTGAGGCTGTGGCACATCCCCAGTCAGCCCACCTTACTGGTAACCTTCACAGGTGCTCTTTGGAGATCAGGATCTGAGCCATTCAAGGTCACTGTGCACCACATTCCAAGACCCAAGATCCTATTCCATCAAACGCCACGATCCCAGATGTCAGTGAGAAAGCTGTGGAGGAGACCTTCTCCAGCTCTTTTTTGACAGTGGCTCAGTGCTGGGGCTTTGGCTTGCAGTGCTCCCCAAGGTGTAAGTCTGAGGCCTCAGCCCACAGAAGCTGCAGGTGATGGAATAAGTAGCTGGCTAAGGCTGCCACAGATAACAGCCAGGAAGCTGCTAATTCATGCAAGCCACCCTGCTCTCTGCTACAGATGCTGTCATCATATGGCTTGCTTTTTAGTTTTAATTTTCAGGAAAAGACCACACAGTTGCTTCACAAGGCTGTTCAGTTATGATGGACATTTTTGACACCTCGTAAAGCACTGGTTACTGGGATTCTATTACCCCACTGCTCCACTACCAGATGTGTTAAATCTAGAGGATCCCAGTTTGCCCTGGGCATGACAGGCCTGGGGTGTCTTCCCAAACCTCTCTGCTGAGATGCTGCAAATCTTCTCACATCAACTGCAAGACCCAGGGTGTAGTCATATCTTTAGCTTTAAAATGCCAGTCAGAAATGCTGGAACTGACAGCCTGGCTCTTCTTTGACCTAATAAAGCCCCAAAGCCTAGAAGCAGGGCCAAATTCTCCCAGCAGAGAGCTCTCCTGACTCTCACCACTCACACCTGGAGCAAGAGGCTGCTTTTGAGAGCTCAACATACATGGGGCCAACTGACCCGGGTATGGAAGTCACCTGAAACAATCAGAAATTGAGAGACAAAAGTGCATTTGATGGAAATGAAAAGTTCCACTTTGACAAAGGAAGATGACTGTAGCTTTCCCTCAAACATTTTTTGTCTTTTCCCTTGGAAATAGCTCATAGCAAGTGGAGACCATCATGTTGGCAATCAGCATGGTCCCAAAGAAAGCTGCATAGATGCAAAGATACCTTATGATTTATCCCCAAATACACACAGAGCCAGCCACAAGTCTATGGTTGGCCTCTTCACTAAGCAAGCATCTCACTGCCATCAAGACAAGCTAATATTCTTACATGGTTTCAAAGATGCCCTCAATGGCATGAACAGCATTGATTTGGCTTTTCCAAAAAAGGTGGAACTGCAACCTACAAGCTGCACCTGCTGAAGAGAAAGTGAATAGGAAAAACAGTCTCACAACAAGGGTCTCCAGCCTGTACAATGGCCATCCAGGGGTATTGTATAGCTGTGGCCTTACTGCAGACTAAATCCAGGACAGTGAGCCTTGCAGCACAGGTAGACATGAATCTCCTGAAGGAGAATTCGGGATTTCATTTTGCCATGCTGGAGGGCTGTAAGGGAGTCAGGAACATCTCTTTTTCCTTACCTGGCTTGAGATGTTGACTGGCTGGAGGTACAGGAGAAGGGGAAGTGGATTCCTGTGGACAACACTGCAGCTCACACTGCTCCTTCCAGCAACCTCTTAAGTTTAATGAGAATGAAAGGTGTCCAGAGAAAGACTCTGTATGAACAAAGCCACACCCAGCCTTTGCTGGGGCCATCTTACTGAAAAGCAAGTCAAGAATCATTCTATTTTGACTTCCGGTGTTGCTGACAAGCCAATAAAACCTTATGAACTAGACTGCTCCCTAGGTAAGTCCTAACACAGAACTATTATTAGTTAATTCATTCATGATAGCCAATAAAAGTTGCCCACTCCTGTGAGACTTACAGTAAAGTGTCACAGCCCACTAAACAATATCAAGTCATAGGTGATCCTGAATTTGTGACAGAGACTCTTAACTCATGGTTTTTCAGGCTTCAGTGGAATCAGACTTTGAAAAGGCAAGATTCAGAAGAGGATTGTCTTCAGGATGTAGTACAAAGAGACAAGACAGAAAACAGTGCTGCCTCGTGATGGTATTTTATGAAAAGAAGGCACTTTCTTGCGTGAACATCTCATATTCACATCAGACAATGCTTTGAAGGTGATGTCATTTGTGAAGATAGTCTGGGTTAGTGGGTAGCCTCTAAAAGTCTAAAAGGGTGAAGCACTAACACCCTGAAGTAGCCATATGTCCCAAGGAGATGTCCTTATGGCCCAGAAAAGTAGAACAATGAAAGAATCCAACTGCTCTCTTCAGGACTGGGCCAGATATTAGGTAATAATTTTTCACTTTCAGCTTGAGCAAATCTCTCAGGTCTGCTGTGGGGAGACATCAAACATGAGAAGCCAGGATGCTGCTTTTATGGTGTTGCTTGTCAGAGCAGAGCTGCACTTCTATTACCTCCATGTCCTCTGTCTGCTGAAAGGACAGCTTTCCAGGATGCTTGAGAACATCCATTCTCTTTTACAGCGTACGCCATTCACGTTGCTGGCATATGCTGCCCATTGAAATAAATGGAGCTTGTCACTCTTGGATGTGTTCCTTGGAAATAAACGGTCAAACAAATTAGAATGCTGAGCCATGAAAATCCTTGTCCTTTTGAAAAATCTGTGCTGGATGTAGCTCATGGTTTCCTTAGACATTTGGGTGATATTTTTTGTTTTTCAATTGGTCATGTTTACTTTCTCTGAGGCTGTTTTAATAACAGGTCGGGAGCTTTGAGGCTGCTGGCAGGAACAGCCTGCAGCTGGGTAAGGGGAAAAATATAATAGTGTCCCATGAACTGAGGTACTAGGGCCACCAGGTCTAGATGTGAGGACCTGGCTGGCCTTCACCCTGGCTGAGGTCTGCCAGTGTTTGTGGGACAGGCAGGACCCTCAGCTGCTCCATCACAAATACAAGTGTGACTTTCCTGGGAGCGGCTGCTATGTTTAAACCAGTTGAGATGTATGGCTCTTGGACAAAATCTTCTTTTTCATCTGATTGCAGCCTTTGGCTTATGTCTCTTGGTCTCCACTTACAGTCTTTTCCTTTGCTTGTTGGACTAGAGGAGACATGGCACTAAGATCCAGCTGCCACTGTAAGGAGCCAGGTGTGCTCATGAGGGTGGTCATGCCCCTTCACCGCCATGTTGTCTTGACCTCTCCAAAGATTGTCCCTGTGATGTCAGATACACAGCTCTCCTGAGAGAAGGGTATTTTGAGAAATGGAGGATGATGAGGAGTTTTTAAAGGCAGAAGGGACCACTGTGAGCATCTCTCCACAGGTGGAAGGCTACAGGACTTCCCTCTTAATTTCCTTTAGGAGCATTTTTCAGCAATAATACCCATTTGTGGTTTAAACATTGATGGTGGTGGAGGATTCCCAATGATGCCTGGAAAATTACTCCACCAGCTGTTTCTCCCCACTTTTGAAAACATTGATGTGAAAAATGAGTATGCACACCTTCAGCATCCAGCTGTGGGATTTTCCTATATGTTGGCCTCTGGATTAAGAGTTCTCTTTTATTATGTTATCAGGCTTAGGTGGGATTTTTAAAACAGGCATATGCATGTGTGCTGTACTGCTGATATGTCTGCATACATCAGTTATTAGCTTGGACTTTCTGGTCATGCAGAGCATAGCTACATGCTCAGGTCAAATGTCTGGGAATTTTGGACAAATGGGAAAATTCCACCTGGGCAAACATTTCAGACAGAAAGAGAAGACATGCCTGAGTGAACCCAGACATCTGTTGGTCCTTCCTAGGTCAGTATTCATTAGTAGTGGCCATATCAATTCTGCAGCCTTCTTTTTGTTAAACTGAACAAGATTCAATGCCTTGTCATTATGCAGAAGAGACCAAGTCTGTTCTATTTGTAAGGCTGTTCTGATAATGGGATCTTTTCCATTCTTCCTATCCATCTTCCTGGACCAGAAATGTGATGCTTAGCATGCCAAGCTCCAAATGTAGAACAAGAAATACTTACTGTGCTCTATAGTGTCTGCAAGACCCTAATGCAGCCTGGATGCTCCTGGAACAGATTTATTAGGAAGACTAAAAAGACACTAAAATTATGTAAAACACATGTAAAAACCTAAGAATGTCCGCAGTGGGTTAGACAAAGGTATCTTGTTTACAGCATTACCAAAAGAGGGAAACCTGTAAGAATAACATAAATCTACAGTGATACTGCCCCCAAATAGAGCCCTGACATCCAGTTAATTAAAGTTCAATGCATTGGATGAATTTTCCTTTTCTGAATTTGTCAAGTTGTGATTTGAATGCATGTGACTTTTCAGCATCCATAATTTTCCATGGAAAGGACTTTTCTGTGATCCATGTGATTTAGGTAAATGCATAAAGGCATGCTTGTAAACATGTTTGCAAATAAGATAGCCAAATTTGCTGAATTACTGTGGCTTCTACTGCTGATGAGCACATGAAGAGTAGCATTGAGTATGTGGGCAGTAGTGCCTTATGTTTTCATTGAATGAATTTGGTTGGAAGCATAAACAGTGGGTGGATTAAAGCCAGTGAAGAAAAAGAGGAGGAATCTCCTGCAGTCTGGGTAAGAGGAAGGAAGCAAGACCAAGACCTGTTCCTTGAAACTGATCACCTCTAATTGACCTGGGCCAGGGTCTGAAAGTGAGACCAGTCATGCACAAGCACACACAATCACTATACAGGCTGGAGCCATGGAAAGTGTCCATGTGGATCAAGCACTAAAGGAGTTAACAAAACAAGCCAGAAACAGAGATGTGTTAACCTTTACAATGAACTCGATAGCAATCCCCACACATAAATGACTAGGGAGGAATTTGTGAATTAAGTAGGACAAATAGGAGGAACTTGGTGATTTTTATACATGCCGGATGCACTAAATGGGGAGTGTGGGTTTACATGGCTCCCAGACACACACGGCTGGCAGGCAGCAGTCAGTGAATTGAGGGGGAGGCAGACACCGTGTGCTCTGCCACTGAGGACCTTACCTGTGCACATGTGTGCAACTGCTGGCTGCCAGGGTGAGGAAAGAAAAAGTAGATGTCAAGTGTAGCTGGCAGCCAATGCATCTGTCTTCTGTCTTTCACTCACCCACAGTCGAGGTGGAACTTGGCTATTTTTAAATCTGATGTCTGTGTATGTAGCCATGGGGAATGCTCTTTCCTATGAAAAAGAAAAAAATAGAAAAAGAAAAAAAATAGAAAAAGAAAAAAAAATTATTCTGCAGCCACCTGCATTCCATAAGCAGATGTTTCTCCCTCTATCGATGCCAAGCACCCCAGCCCACAGGCTTCCTTCCTTCACTTGGAAGCAGAACTTGCAGAACAAATCCGAGTGATCATTACTGGACAGTAGACCAGGGAAGTAAAGCTGCCATGCTTTTCTTACCTTACATGCAGGGTCTCACAGGAGGTACCTCACAGGTACTCTGCCCAGTTCAATGTCTTTTCCCCAGTCATGGCCAGTATCAGCCTCTCCTGGAATGAGCAGGAAGGTTTTCACCGGCATGTGGAGTGTTCAAGACCATTTTATTTCTACTTGTATACCTTAGGCCAGCTGTAACTGGCTTTATGCGGGCTTCTGTGAGTTGTACGGTCATTCCTGGTGAAGGAGGAAAATTGATTTATTCCAAAAAGTCATCCAGGCCTAACAAATTGTTTTTCCTATCAAAATGTTTCCAGGGAATACAATCAGGTGTCTGAAAAGCCACTCATTTCCCACAGAGGCATGCACCATATCCTAGGCTCCATCCCTGTGCAGGCTTAATGTCCTCCAACAGCTGCTTCTCCCTCAACTTCCAGAGCTCTGGTTCTGTGGTCCTGAGCATATGGAAGGTGGTGTTGGGTCTTCTGGGTCTTCAATCATTTCCATTGATCACCTTCTCCATTCCACTGAGGCTATGTAGCACTGGTGTCCTGATTTTTGAGATTCTCTCTGAACTTAAACCAGATAAATCACTAACTGCTGGATGTTCCTCTCCTTCTACTCCCATAATTTTGAACTCTGTCTTTTGGTGTGGGGTCTAGAGTCAGTTTTGCATCCTCTTCTTTGACATATTTCCTCATATCTTTCTCAATATGAAATTTGTTCATTGGACACTGTTATCCTTCCTGCCTGGACCCCTATTTTCCCTTTTGTTTCCCCATGTTGCTATTTGTTATTATTCATCGTAACCTCTTCTCAAACTACCTGGTTGGGTGGTCCCTTGTTTGAAGGGGAGAAGTCTTAACAAGAAGAGTGGCTGGTGAGGACTCAGTCCAAGCGAAGAACACAGCCTCCCTGAAGGAATAAAATAACTTCTCTTATCTTTTCAGGATTTCCTCATGAACTCAGACCATTTCTATTTGTATGTATGACAATGTTTGATGCTTATAGGAGCTCTACTGAAACATCCTAGGGCAGTAACTCGTTATATATATGTATACATATGAATTCAGATAGGCACATTTGTAAGGCAGCTTCTTTGGATTATTCTCAGGTTCCAGATTTTCTGCTTGTCTTCTCAAGACAAGTACACTTTAGGGCTTCAATTAAAGATAAAATAAATAAAGCAAAGCAATTGTATGTCTAGGAAATGTCATGTTTTTATTCACATTCTAATTTACTCCTTCTTCTGTGGCCTCTGTGTTCATGTCTGCAGGGTTAGTATGAGACATATCTGGTTAGGGAGTCTGGATTTTTTCTGGAGTCATGATTATGTAAAATTACAGTATCCCCTCAGAAAAGTGCTTCTAGCCCTCATGGTGTTGAGATGAATTTGAAACTGTGCCTGGAGAGTGTTAGACGCAGAGAAGTACGAATGTGTATGAAGAGTACTGAGGTCAAAATTCTATGAGATATGAACTATCTTGCATCATTGTGATGGGGCACAATTTCATCATTCACAGTTACTGACAATATTTTTAATAAGACTAGAGTTGTAGTAGGATGCTGTAAAGCACTTGAAAGACCATATGGCTTAGCAGTGTATGAATTTCTAGGAGGTGAAGAGTGCCTGATGTTGAAGGCTGTGGGATGGAAGATGCTTCCATTTCTGCATATTGTAGTTAAATGTTCAGCTCTGTGTAGCTCCACTTCAGCAGTCTTTCTTATCCCTGCCAGGGCTGTGCCCGTTGCCCCAAGAAACTCTCACTAAATGAGTGGAAAGGGACTTTTTACAGGTGTAGTGACAGGACAAGGGGGAATGGCTTCAAAATGAAAGAGGGTAGGTTTAGATATTAGGAATCTATTCTTTACTCTGAGAGTGGTGAGGCACTGGCACAGGTTGCCCAGAGAAGCTGTGGATGCCCCAACCCTGTAAATGTTCAGGGTCAGGTTGGATGGAGCTTTGAGCAGCCCAGTCCAGTGGAAGGTGTTCCTTCCTTCCATGGTGGGGGCATTGGAACTAGGACATCTTTAAGGTCTCTTCCAACCCAAACCATTCTATGATTCTATGAGCCAATTCAAACCTTTCTTCACCAAGACTCAGATGTCAGGAGCTTTTACGCAGAACAGTCCCCTGCTTACCTCCATGAAGCGGCTTATGATAGAGCAGTAACAAATGGTGCTCTGCTAAACCAAATAAGCTCACGCTCTCAGGTCTGCTGATGCTGTCATTCTCTGATCCCAGTGTTTGGAGAAATTCCAAGGGAAATATTCCACAGACTGATGGGACTTAAAGTCTCCATAGGGTCTCCACAGACTGATGGGACTTAAAGTCTCCATAGGGTCTTTTACAAACCAAATCTCTTTGGTTTCAGAAGAAAATGAAACCTCTAAGCTGGTTTTGGTCTGTAAACAACCTTGCTTGCTATTGACCATAGTTTGCTTATATTCAGGGTCCAGGTTTAAAGAAATAAAGTTAAACTTTTGACTGTCTTGAAGTCCTTTTCTTGTTTTCTCAGGTAAGGTCTCTCCACTGCTCACTTTTTCCAGAGTCTCTTAGAATGCGGACTTAGTTGTGAGTTGTCCCCTTCTGTGTAGTGAGCATGAGCTTCCTGACAACTGCTGCTCTTCAGTATTGAGCTGAAGATAATGCAGTTTGATTCACCACTCACTTAGGGCTGACAGAAGAACTGGCCAGTCTTTTTGTGGCAGTTTAGGCTACTTTCATATCCAGCTTTCTGCCCCCTCCACCAGCTACAAGTTATTGCCCCTGTGACAGAAAGTCTCAGCAACTCCAGTTCATCATCTGGTATCTCAGTGCTTTTAAGCTAATGCACCAAACTTCACCATGGCAGATCCACAGGAGGATGCACATTCTCATCTGCCAATTCTGCAAAGGGAGTAATGGGAGGAGGGTCACCAGGAAGTTCTTAAACTGCTACTGTGGGGCTCATCAAAGCTCATCTGTCGGAGCACTAGAGTGAATCAAGTTACTGGTAATTGAGATCAGTATCACTGCTGTGTGCCTGAGCAGACTGCAGCTTGCAGGGTATGGAGGCTCCAGCCCAGCTCTGGGTCCTTAGAGCCTTAGGTCCTAAAAGGAAAGGTCTTTGCTTTTTTTGATGGATTCAAGATTTCATGACCATATCCATATTTTATATGCTATAGCTGGAAAATGAGTATGCTGTTCATTCAGAGCTTGTCATCTCAAGGAAAATTACAAGATGGGTCACAGAAGGAAGCAAATTATGGACTGCAGCTAATAAATGGCCATTTACTAGCGCTGCAAAGACTCGGGAGATGGAGGGTCTTCCAAGGCTGCAGTTTCACAAGCAAAATTAACATTGCTGCATGGAGCTTGACAGGTTTATTCAGTCTGTTTATGTAAATCCCTCAAGAGAAAAGACATCTCCTTTTTTGTGAAATGGGGAGCATGGGCAGGTAGCTAGGGACGAGAGAAAGATTAGAGGCTACAGATTGAGTCAGGCAAGGCTTGGTTTTGTCCCTGCTCAGAAAGTTTGGAGGGAGACTGCATTAAGGAATGTAGCCTGGCTCTGGAATCATGCCTTCCCAAAAAGCTCAGCCTGGCTCACAGTCCATTTGCAGGAAAGCAGGAGGTGGGCCTGCACCCGCTGCAAGCATCAAGCAGGGGCGCCAGTGTGGCAGGTGGCTCCAGCCCCTCTTATGGCTGCTTGGGCATTTCCCTGTGACATATCCCTATAAAAGCCAGAGGCATCCCAGAGCCTCAGCAGAGACTGAGACTTTGCCATGGTGCAGACATTGGTGCTGGGCTCCCCCTCACCAGCTGGGCTGCTCTTCCAGCAGCCAGGAAAAGCAATCATTGGCAAAGGTAATGAGATGGAGTCAGGCACACTATGTAAATACTGTTTGGGCTACATTCATAATCCCACACCATGAGCCACATTTCCATGAGAGAGGCAGTCTGGCCCCCTTGGATAAGTTTAATCATTTCTGACATGAAGACTTCTTCTCCTATTTCATGACTTATTTCCCCAGTATCATTTAAATGTATTAAAACACTGTTAGTGTAGAAAGTAGGCATCATGTTAGCATAATATCTAATCAGAACTAGTCTGCCTGTCCCCGCAGGGTTTATTTATTTATTTATTTAGTGTCTGTTTGTGCTGTTTTCTTGTTAGATTGGAAAGCCCTTCCTTGACATACTCATTTGTTCTGCTGTGTAATAGAATAGGATCCTTCAGAGCTGCTGACATCTGCTTTATTTTTGAAATCTGCAACTCTCAGCCCACAAAGCAACAATGATAATAATAATAGCGATAATAATAATCATAGTGCTGGGAAGCCTGAAAAGTGAAGTTAAGCATGAAGAGAAGAAGACAAAAAAAATGTAAGAGGAAAAGAATGGTGTGGCAAAGAATGTTTTGATCACTGGGAGTGTATTTTTATTGGCCCTGATTCTCCCCTGATTGACTCATGCTTTATGATTGCACCGCCCTGTGGACTGCAATTAATTTCTTTGTGACTTGCAATATTGCAAGGGAGAGGGGATCAGGCACCGTGGTGTGTGTGATCAGGACACTTGTTCATGGGTATATTCAGCCCTGTTCTCACTCAAGTGCATTGCTTTGATTTCTCAATGGCATTGCAGTATTGATTTTGAAGGGAATTAGTTTCTTCAGAGCTCCTGAAGATCTGGCCACTGTGATTTCTCAGGGACTTATTCAGCCTCCTCCCCCACAACTTTATCCTCACATGTCACAGCTGAAATAATTGGCATTGCACTATATCAAACTGGCAGGATGCAGTCCTGAAGGCTGGGGGAATCAAATCCAGAGCAAGCTTTGACAAAAAGCTTCATGAGGAAGAGAGTTGTTGGGCTAAGCACTGTCCAAAATAATGCCTGACTGCCCACTCCAGGTCATCTTGTCTGAATCCAGCTCTGTACATAGCTTTCTACTAAGGAGAGGAGATTGTACTGCAAGGACTAAATGACAAGGAAAGATATTAAAAGAAAGGAAAGAAGAAAGGAGTAGGAAAAGAGGAAGGAGAAATTACTAAAAAAAAGAGGAAAAAAATGAAAAAAAATATTCTTAATATTCTTAGCAGTAAGATCAGGTCATGTTGAGCTTTGAGCATTCTGCATAATTTTTGACTTGAGAAGGAAACAAAACTTAGGACTTGTGGTATTGAAAAGTTAAGTTCTAAAGACAAGTTTCAAGGCTGATCTCAATAGTTGTGGCCAGTGGATAGGCAGACAAACCTATTGCTTGAAATTGGTGAATTTACCTCATTCTGAGCAGCTGAGAGCAAGTGGCTCTCTTGTTCTTTGGCCTAAAGCATTCTGTAGCAAAAACAGGGTGGCTGAGCAAGTACAGAGACCTGAAGAAGCCTAAATAGCTTCATTAGCAAAGGCACAAAACCACCCAGGGCAAGAAGCAAAACTCAGGCTCGAAGATTTGTTGCCCTCCACCTTTCAGAGCAACAGTCTGGGCTGAAGACTCTCATTAATAATGGTTTTACCATGTCCCACTTCTTCTGGCCCAGAGCTTGGGTGTCCCCAGAGCCACCAGTGCACACTATTACTAGCACTGATGGCATTATTTTTTACACCAGACATAGGTGTGACATCTTGCAAATATTGGTAGGGTCACCCTTCTGCTGAGTTCCATATGAATATCACATGCAGACATAGGGTAAAACAAAATAGAAAATGGGCTTATGAAACTAGAGATGGTAAAGATTTATGAGGTCCTATCTGCTCCCTTCTTCTCCTGTCATATGCTTATAAAGGATCACACCTCTCTTACTCTTTTGCCTGGTTTTAAATACGCTAGTCATAGGATTTCTGTGTCCCATGGAAGGCTCTTCCATCTACCAGTAGCTCCCATATGCTCAAAAGGTGCTTCAGGAGACCTTCTCCAGCACCTCAACCTGTGTCAGACCCACAGAGGAGCATGTTCTACAGCTTGTCTGATTTGCCACTATTTGAGCTACATCAACCTGTGGCATCCCTCAGACACTTAGAAGCATTCCATTCCATCCCATTCCATTCCATTCCATTCCATTCCATTCCATTCCATTCCATTCCATTCCATTCCATTCCATTCCATTCCATGTGACCATTTTCTTTCAGGAACCACTAGCAGGAGTGGTTTCCCAGGAAGCTGATGGATTCTTACACTTGTCATGAGTGACTCTGTGCCACCAAGCTGCATGGGCCAGCCGAGTCCTTCACTGGCATTGGACTGTGCTCACCACTCTTTCACACATGGTGATTCAGGCCTGTGGGAGAGCCACAGGCTCGCTGGCAGCCTCTGTCTTTACAGGTCCAGATCACATTTTCCTTCTGCTATGTCCTGTATGCCTTCTTGTTTTGCTCCTTAATGCAGTCCCGCAATAGTTTCCTTGCTCTTGTGAATAATCACTGTCTGTGCTCTCCACTGGCTGCTGCCAAGAGCTGCTTTTCCCATGCTCTTTCCTCAAAATAAAACTGTTCTTCCCAAATTTAGGGTTATTTCTATTGTTCCTCAGTTTCTCCTTGTAGTTTGCTCTTGTGTCTGTGCAAATCAGGCATTTACATTTAGTTCACTAGGCAAAAAGGACATTTTGGAGATATTTAAATTGTATCAGTGCTTGTACTCCTTAGTGAGGCAATGCTTTTGAGTTTGAGAGTCAGATGATGAAGTAATAATACTTTTCTTGCCCTGTTGGTTAAATAAGACTTAGAAAAGCTCTGAGAAATTTGAATATGCCAGTGGTTCTTGGCATAGGAGAGGCTGGAGTGGGCCACAGTCTCTTGAGTTGGGTGGGCTAAGTGTGCAGACAGAAAATGAGCTGCAAGATCAGGATGCAAATTTATGGCAAAACACTGAGTTTGGCTGAAATGGAAAAAAAAAAAAAAAGAAAAAAGAAATAAAAGTAGAAGGTATATTACCTCCACTGAAGGGAGGAGAGGCCTTATGGCTTACAGGCTGGCTGATAGGACTCCTGAAAATGAGAGCAGGTGATAACAGGCTGTAGGAAAGTACTTTCTTGTAAGAAAAATCTGCTACCATTCCCAGCTTAACCAATGGGAAAATATTATCTAAAGAGCAAGAACAGAGAGCTCTGTTTGATGAGAGCCATAATGGGTGTCATTTCAAGAAGAATCCTCACAAGCACTGTTAATTACCTGTCCAAGCACAGTGGCTCATATTTTTATACCTGAGTGAATAAAATTAGTCTCAGATCTTAACATCTAAATAAAAGTGTCATTTATCTCCCACAGCAGCAAAGGCTAGAGAATTTATGGCTGTACAGGAGCTCTGAAGACAAGGCCCTATTTGTTTCAGTGTGTCTTCATTTTTGGGAACTTAACTATGTTCACCCAAACTAAGATGTTCTGTGCTCTGCTCCTATGGATGTGATCATGTAATCCACAGCAATTTAGCCAAAACAGAGAAATAAACTACTCAGAATTTCTCTCAGACACCAAACATGCCAGTTTTCTTGTACTCCTGTGTCACATCATTATGGGATATTGATTTCCATTACCATGTATTTCAGAAAATTCCCTGGGTAATGCTCTGGTGATTTGCTCCAAACAGGGCACCTCAGTAATATTTTGGCAGGCAGGAGAAACTGTCAAGCAAAACCCTGTCAACCCAACAGACCAAATTGAGCCCACTGCCCAGTTCCTGTTCCTCTTGCAAAATCTCTGATATGGAATTGAACTGGTTTTCATATTGGTTCACAAATCAAGCGAGATTTGGGATCATTTGCTTAAAAATGCTGTATCACATGTTGCCACCTCTCGGTGTGATAGCTCAGTGGGAAAACACTGCAGTAATAATGGTACCCTCCAGCCCTGAGGATAACAAATACCCAGTTCTGCTGGGAGATAGATGCATTGGTAATTAGCAAATGTTTGAGCATGCTGTGCCCTGCCAGCTTATACCCAACCTGATGCTAGGATTCCCATTTACGTTTTACAGCTATCCTTGGTGATGGTGAGGAGCCCTTTAGCATCTCTTACTCTACAATCAATGTCAGTAAATCCCTGGTACTTCTCTTAAGCTACATCAGTTGACACAATATGGGAAAGGTAGTGGAGAGCTAGGAAGTTTGATATGAGCTCCAGGTGGACTCTTAACAGAACCAGAACCATCAATTCTGTCATAGGTTTTGGACTTGTTATCCTGGAAAAAAATGTCAAGGGAGCTGGCCATGAGTACCAAACTTGTTTAAACACCAAACACTATTGAAACTCTTGCAGGAGAGCAGGAAGACTGAAAAGTAGACAGAGACATGAATGTTTAGGGGGGTTGTCATTCTGGTCATATAAGGTCAGAGAACATCTGCTTCTAATCGAATAAACGGAACAAATTTTATCTGAAGCAATACTTGCCTTTAGACTTGACACTGCTCTGACAGTCCTGGAACTCAGCTCTTCCTGCATGTGTGATCCAGTTTCTGTTCATTTCAACAATCCCACACATGATAGCTGGACTCTTAGCCTTCTTAGGGCAATTTTGTCCCTCAGCTAGTGACACTAATCCACTGTCACTGCCTTACACTCAGAGAGATGCAGGACACTCCTGATGAATGACAAGGGTTCAGACAAATAACCAGTGTGGTCAGGGGGATTACATTAGACCTGATCAGACTGCCATGAGATGACTTGTTATGTTGCATTTTCAGTTTCTTCATTGCAAATCAGAGCAACTTTATTGTTGCAGAAATATTCCATGTGACTTTTTACAGGGGTGGCTGAGAATAGAAGATGACTTTGTGCCTTCATCTTCCTTGAAGGTATCTAGAAAAAAATACTTACAGAGCTGTAGTTCACCATCTCCAGCATCTTCTTGGCTTTCTGATTTGCTTCCCTTCTATGCTTCCTTGAGGAGAGATAAATAAACCTTTCTTTTAAAAGGACTTATTGAGAGAAGAAACCAGGAAATCTGTCATTTCTGAAAATAAGGATTTGGGCTACAGGCCATCTTCAGGATTTGCAGAACTATTCCCTGAGTTTGATAATGCTCATGGCTATTTTTCTTTGCTGAAGTTTGGATTGTTGTGTCAACTAGAGTAAAGGTCAATCTATGAAGTAATGTCAGATATCAGTGGGGTCAATATCCTGTTTCGAATGTTCCACAAAACTCCAGGAAAGAGAGATCATGCACATGACTAATCTTTATGGAGCGGGAATACAAATCTGGTCCTCTCTACCCACTCCTTAAAGTAGAGGCAGATTAACACCTTCTTGAGAGCTGGTCTCAAAGAAGCCCCACTTCAGACAACCATCAGTCCCCTGCCCTCTCCTGCCTCCCCTGGCATCAGACAGGTACCATATTTAGGAAAGGATGATTGTCATTTCGGTATTTAAACTAGATGTGGTTAATTTCATGTGCTGGCAGTTACCAAATTTTCAAGTTGTCCACTGTTCCTGAGAACAATTTTCAAGGTCACCTGAGTCCCCATGTTCTGAACATGAGCCAATTTTCTCACTTGACAATCTCCTCACAATGAAAGTACCATCCTCACTATTCTTGACAAGCATCCCGGGAAGGGATCCCCAGGGACCAACTCCCATTTGCTGAGATCTGAATTCATTTGTATCTGTAGAAGAACAATGGAAGGGATAAAGATGAGCTATTTAGCAGGAGTCTTGGTGCCATTGACATGCCTGGAGTGGGGTTTATCCCCATTAACTTCTTATGCCCCCACTTCATCTGAGACAGTTCCTCCTGGCTCCCTTTACGCTCACTGGAGAAAAGAAGACATGATGATGATGTGACACATCTTGCTTATTTTAGATGTTTGTGGTAGAGGGATGTGAAATACTCACCAGAAGGACCTGTTTCTCCCCAGTAAGAGTAGTTCAGACTCATGACTAGAGATGCTCAGCACTGATCACATAAATCCCATCCCCAGCTTCCAAAAGAGGCCCCTGCAAGTCACATACATAGGTCTGGCCTTCTCCCCAGCTGAGACTCTGCACCTTGCACCTCCACGCTGGGCCTATCCATTTTCAAATCAGTTCATACTGGAACTGGAAGTCCATTTCTTCTACAGCTGACAGCAGCAGAAAAAATGGACACCCTTGCTGCAAGATTTCAGACAGGTTCTAAACTGTCTCATTTTGGTATCTCCCTACCAAAGTGATGGTACAAACACCAGTATTTTTTGAGATGCTGTTGGGATCTTACTCCAATCCTTTGTCCTACAATTCCAAAAGCCCTTTGCAATTTCTTTGGTTATTTGGCATTTCCACAAGGGCCTTGGAGAGACCCAGTTTTTGTAAGTGTTGTACAGACATAGGAGTTCCTGCTGGGAAGGGTTTCAGCAGTTTTGCTTCTGCCAGTCACCTCCAGGCTAGTGAGAATGTCCAGACAATGCACAGGTCCTCAGAGGTAAGCTGCAGGTGAGGCAGCTCCGCTGGCTCCATCTCTCACATCCCCATAAGATGTCCAGAGGGTAGCTGCAATCCTCTTGGTGGCATGGAGCTGGTGCTGGAGTTCTCACATTGTACCCACTCTGTCCTGGGGAGGGGTGAGAAGCTCTGATTTCTGTTCAGAGCCCTTCTCACATCCTTACAGAGAGACCTTGTTTGGCCTGACCAATTGCAAGGAGGGGTCAGCGGTTGCAGGGGCAGAAGTGCGCAAGGGCGCATTTACCGCACTTCCGTGGGCTTTCCCTTGGATTTGACCTGGTATTTTTATACCTCTATTCCTTGATCTCTCTCAGCCTCAATCTCCACCCTCAGAAGGAGACAGACTTGCAGGCAGTGTAAATGATTGCTGCTCCACCCAAGGCAGTCCCCCAGAAATCAGAGCAGCTGCGGACCCTCTTCTCACCTCTCCCTCTTTCCTTTCTTTCTCTTGATCTCTTCACTTCTTTGTCTCCCTCCTCCCCACTTTTTCTGCCTTTGTTTTTTTTGCCCTGTTCCCTCATGATCTCCCTGTGCCTGTGTGTCTCAGTCCCTCTCCCCGGCTCGCTCTCTCTGGAGACAGGTCTAGTAGCCTGGTTGCCATCTGCTGCCTGGGTTGTTTTTTGTGTGAGTGCGTGCGCGTATGCGCGCGCGCGGGTGCACGTGGGGCTTTTTTTATGAGGTTGAGATCAGATGGCATCTAATCGATCGTCATGGTCTCCATGGTTACCTGGGTGACAGAGTAGTTGGGAGAGACACATACTCCAGCCTGGGGCTGTCAGACCATTCCTGAGAGAAATAATAAAAAAAAAAAAAAAAAAAAAAGGGAAAAAAAAAAAAAAAAAAAAAAAAAAAAAAGAAAAAAAAAAAAAAAAAAAAAAGAAAAAAAGAAAGAATAAAAATCAAAGCTCTTCCATCACATTTTACGCATTTACATCTTCCTCAGATCCAGGAAAATGTAGCCTGCACTTCTGTTTTACATCATCACCCTTTGACTTGGCTCGAGGAGGAACAAAGCAGACTTGTTTTTCTTTCTGCATGGCACAGGCACAAAAGTGAACCACATCTTTGGGAGAAGCTTCCCTTTCCCCTTCTGCTTCTCTGAAAGGTTTGATTTTTTACCTTTTTTTAATCCCCCCCAGTCACTGTTGTAACCATAATGATTATTTTTATTCTTCTAAATTGGTTAGTCTCTTGAATTGACTAAAGGCAATTTCCCAGGTATTCTGGGAAAAGAATTACAGTTTATTAGTATATGAGCAGTATCTATTTCTCCCTGGCCTCAGCCCCTAACACTAGACCATCTTCAGCGCTTGTAAAAGATCAATCAATCTGTATATTATTTTTTGTTTGAAGTGTGATCCTAAGGATGAATTATTGAATTAGGTGAGTTTCTTGTCTTTAAAAGCAGATTGAGTTGGGCATGGCAACATCCTGGACCATGGCAATTAAGTGTGTCAGGAGCATGGGAACAAAAACTACACAGTGCAGAATATGAACCTGCATGAATCAGGGGAGGAGAAGGATACTGCTGCCTTTCAAACAATGCCATTGTGGCAGACACCCCTCAATAATCCAAGAATTTCACAGAGTTTGCCTATAGTGCACCACCCAGGTACACCCTGTCTGGTTCTCTGATAGCCATATTCTGCCTGGTCCAACACAAATTGTGCTTGATTTGACCTCAGCATGGCCCCCAAAAGGCAATCAGGTTACATCTTCTGTTGTCTGGCTGCAGCCAAGGCATTAGTGCTCATCAAAGCTCACCCATTGCAGTGCTGGGGCAGCTGCTGCCTGGCCATGTTCCTGCACATGGTGGCACACAGGGCTTTGGAAATGGCAAATGTAAGCACAGCCAAAGGGAGATAACAGCACCAATGAGCACGGCTGCGACGGGCTGAGAGGCTTGTGACCCATCACAATTCTCCAGAGATCCAGGAGTGCTGACTTAATGCTGCTAACTATGGAATGCATCTTATCAGAGCACTTCTGGACAAACAAAGATTTGAGAGCTGGATATGCCTTTACTTTTCTCTTTCCCAGTTCTGAATTGGACTGACTTTTAGCTGGAGCCTGTGGTCTTGCTTTGCTTTTTTGCCTTCCTGGTAGAAGCACAAGGTGACCAAGTTGGGTCGCTCAGTTCAGGCTGCAGATAGGCACTGAGGATGGTATTAAGTTGTCTAAGGGGTGTCATCGCAGGTGATGTCCTATCCAGTGTGCATGCACCACCCCCAAAAGGCACAGGTCTTAAACTGTGCTTATGTGTGATCTGCCAAACTCCTTTGTTTAAAACAAAAATCCATGATCATGCCTACTTGAATTCTGATTCTGCTCCCTCCCAGCAGCATAACATCCCTGCTTATAACCAGCAGGGTGGGAAATCCTATGCTCTTCAATATTCCCTAATGTTAAATAACATGGGCCTCCTAGATTTTCATACTGTACAAACACAAACTAATTAAAGTCGTACAAATACATCCTAGGCAGAGAATGAGAATCTGCTCACTTGAGGGAAGACTGCTGGCTTCCACGTCCCAGGGAAAGCTCCCTCACAGTTTACATTGTTCTTTTTGCAAGGGATAATTTATGGTAAAGCCAGTTTCCACTGAAACAGCAGACATGCACAGAGAGGGGAAAAAAATGTAAACACAACAGCATCTTTGTGAATGCAGCAAGGTGCTGGTGCCTGCCTCTGCATGCTCCATAATATATTAATACACACTGGCTGGCCAATCCCACTGGAGCATTCAATCATGCCACATTATAATAGAATTTAATGGAGTTGACAGCTAAGACCTAGTTGCTGGAGACATGTGAAAGACCTTTACAATGAGGATAACAATTAATAAAGTGCCATAGATTTTTGGAGAACCTCATAAAAAAGTAAAATATCGACATTGATCACGGCATGCAAGGATATTAGACACGTAAATTGAGCTATTGCCTTTATTTATTTATTTGCACATCTTTAATATTATAGGCACAGGTTTCCCCAAGGCCAAAATGCAATTTTCTCTCTCCATTTCTCAGCAGGAGCTTTTCATCTCCCTATTCACCAAGTTTTGAATTGCACATTTAATAAGTGAAAAAGAATTCCTGTCTCTTTTCCTTGGGCTTTCAGCCCACAGTTTTTCCCTCCCTTATGTCTTATGATGGAAACAACAATCCCTTTACCTGGCAGTAGGTTGCTTGGGGATGTGGGGGCAGTGTAAAAGGGGGCCTGGAGCCCACAGGGAGTGTCTGGACTTCAGTGCCTGCTGATGTGCTTTGTATGCCAGGTTGCACTGGGTATGGTAAAGAGTGCATGGGATCAACATAAAAAGAGGGAGAAAGACTCTACAACACTGTCTGTAAATCAGCATTTTCCCATCTGCCTCACCAGAAATTTTTGGTAGGAGGAACAGCTTATGTCTTCACTGCCCTCATCCCTGTTTGGGAAGAGACATTCTTCACCCTTTGTGGGATATTGTGGTAATTTTAAAGAATCAATCCTGTGGGTAAACTGCACCTAGCTCAATCCTCTCACTGATGGAGGTGGCAAAAATTTCATCAGCCTGCAGCTGGGAGCATTTCTAGGCTCCCACAGGCTCAAACCTCTCTGGATTTCCTTGGCTGTGCTCAGTTAACACACTCCTGAATCAGGGCTGGCTCCTTGCCTCAGAGAAGTCCTGAACAGCATTTCCAAGAGTATTTAGGTGTGAATTGGTACGTGGTGGGATATTTAGAAACACACAGGCTCTCCCCTGCTCAGAGGGGCTGCCCAAGCCCCTGATGCTCACAGTCCCTGCATCTGTAAATGCCCATGAAGCACTGGAGAGCTGCCCTCACAGAATGACAGGTTTCAGCTCCTCCTGGCTTCAACTTTACACCACTACAAGCCCACTCATCTCACTGGGCTTCCTCTTAACCTCCCCTGATGAACACCAAGGACAGGATCAGCCCCAAATGAACCCAAGATTCTGCTAATGTAAAGCTAAAGCTTTCTTAAGTTAGACTCAGTGGGATCCTTGTGGGATCCTTCCAACTCATGATTGCTTCATATGATTGTACGAGTCTGGCTGTGCAACCTCAGCTGCCCTGCAACTTGGGGCATTGACCTCACATCAAAACCCTTTGGAGCAGTCAGGAAAAAAACTGAGGGGTCAAATCCATCCCTGGTTTAGGACTGAAGAGGCTGATGGCATTACAAAAGGGATGACTTTAGCATCATCATAAGAAATTTAAAACAATTGAACAGGTACTTGAATAGATATGGTGCAATTCTAATAAAGGGACTAAATAATTAGATACTTCCATTTTACAACCAACTGCAGTAGGCTAATTTCTTGTCAGGTAAATCAACCTTGTTTTTCTTTCACTTACCTATGCACAGATGCACTTCCTCAGGACAGGTGACGTCTTGCTTGGAACAAAAGCGGCCATTTGTCCATATCGCAGCAGCAGCAACTGCACCGTGTCATCTCATGCTGTCCTCCAGCAAATTGAGTTTGTCAGTGCTCAGCCACGCAGCTGAGTGGAGTGCTGCATGATGCCTCACCTCTCCTGGGAGAGACAAGTTGGCATAAGCCATATTGTAATGGGATCCAGAAACAAAGAAGCGTGAATGAAGTGCTAATTGCATTCATAAAGACATTAACAAAGGAATTAAAATGGCAGAAGCTTCCTTTCCCCCTCAAGGTTAATATAAACAACCAAAATTATATTAATAATCACTGAGGTTTACACTACTTTGAAGGGATTATACTCAGATAGGGCATCAGGGCTTGGAAAGACCATTTCAGGGGTCTTTTTTGTGGGATTCTGTATCAGAGATGAGACACTCCACTGCTTCTGTTTTTCCAAATTTGTTCTTTTCTTTCTGTCTTTTCTCTTGTCCTTATGCTCCCTTTAAAGAATAGGAAGACTGCTCATTTTCCTCTGAAACTTTTAATATGCTGTAAAAATAATGACATCATACTAAAACCTGTAAATTTTCCTAAAAACTCCCTAAAACAAAATGACCCCAGAAGTTTGGCCAATGGCACAATGGAAGTTTCTTGTATAAACAGCCTGAAACATCCTACCTGGGTTTTTAATCTCATTCAGTTCTGCTTACTTTTCCATGGAAAAAATGTCATGCTTTCTCCTTTTTTCTCAGTGACTTTCTACATGATTTAATCATTCCATTACCAAACTCTAGCACTCTATTCTTATTTGCATTGCTGCTACTGAGAAAAAACATTTCCTGTTGGAATTCTCTCCAATTAATGGGGTCTTTTCCCCGCCATGAGAATAGTACTATTAGCCTTAAACATGGAAAGAGCACATTTCACAGATCCTAAAATTTGAGGCTACTTTAAATCACTTGTATCAGCAAAATGATAGTTCTTGCTTTTTCAACTACTTAGTTGTATTTATCACACCTCTCCAACTCCTGCACTCACCTCCTTTCCACCTGCTGGTGTGGGTGTTGTGCTAGTGACAGCTACAGCTAAAGTCAGCAAAACAGTTTGTTCTGTTCACTAATCTTCAGTCACTCATAACTTTCTAAAATGTTTGTTCTGGAGGCTGCAGTCTGCCCATTTCTCATGACCACTCAAAGGTGGATTTCTCTAGGAAAGATGAGTCCAAGCCATTCAGCAGTTCTGTAGAAGGAAACACTTCTATCATCCCACTACTTTGGCTCAAGTGCCTGAAGAGGCACCATGCATGGAGAAGAGGACCTTGAACCAACACAGGGAGGTTGCCAGCCCTGTGTCTCTATGTTTGTTCCATCCCCAGCTGAGACTCAGGACTTGTGAGTGCCAGGATTGGTGTTTCCAGCTCTGGAGGGCAGAAGGCAGGGAGAATTAGGGAGCACATCAAGGGAGATGAGATGGGATATGCCACAAACACCTGAAGGAATGAAGCTCAGACCTTCATGCCTGTGGGAGGTGTGTGGGAGCATGCGGATGGGTTCCAGGATGGGGTTATGCACCTGGCTAATACCCCAGCCCCTCTAAAGGATCTGAACCATTCAGGGAAGTGTCCTTGTTTCATGAGCATTCCTCCTTCCATGGTGTGCTCAGTTCTTTCCATGAAAGCCAGATTTGGGGTTGTTAGGACAATGAGTACTATTGGAGCTCAAGCAGAAACGATGGTGGGGTAGTTGGTATTAAATCCTAATTCTGAGGTGGATTTAAAGCCTGTAGACCCTCCCACACTAACATGACATCTCCCACTCCTCACTTCCCCCTCTTTGCTTCCCTTCTTTACTCCCGAACACAACAAAATCCCTCAAAAACAGACTCATAGCCCATCCTTTCTCCTTTGCCCCGTCCTGTCCCCCACAAGGTCCTGCCTTTTGGAACCTCCATTTGTGGGGCTCTCCTGGCACCTACTACACTGCATCAAGAGCTCCTGAGGTCATGTGCTAAATGTATCATGGAAGGAGTGGTAAAAAGAGCTGATGCTAGGATGAAAAATGAGCAGTGCTCCCACATTAAATGCAAAAACTGAAATTAAAGCAATTTTCCCTGTTTCAGTCAGCTACAGAAAAACTGGTTACCAGTTAGCAGCAGCAGGAATTTTCAGGAGGTGCCGGGAGTCAGGATGGGGCTCAGCTATTCTCATCTCAGTATCCCCAGCTCAGGAAGGAAACATACCCCTGGCTTTGACTTCAGTGCAGGTAAATGGAGTGCAAGGGCAGCCTCAGCCCCAGTCTTGTTTCTGAATAAATGAAATGTGTATCTTCCACATTTTCAGCTGGGAGGGAGAAGGCTATCTCAGGAGTGATGGCAGGTGCTGCTGAGCTATTTCCATTTTCCAGCTCTGCAGCCTCAGGAACCTCTTTAATCCAAACCACTCGCCAAGCTCCATTCACTCACCCTGAAGATCAGCCAATGGATTTGGATTCATTTTTAGGGCTGTCTTTAATTTTTTTTGAAGTATCTTGCTGATGGATTTTTGGTCTCACCTGTAACTCAAGAAGAGATTTGCAAATCTCATTCTCACATTTTCAGCCACTTAAAGGTGCACATCACACCAAGAATTTAGGCTCTGCTTTCAATAGAGGAAACACAGGGGTAAAGGTATATGAAAAGAAAACCAGGAGATACAGAAATGCTTTGACAGATTTGTTAGAGATGAAAACATTCTTTATTTGATTTCTGCATTCCCTGGGGCAGTGAGGGGAACCCATATGCAATTGCATTGAACTAAAGTATGAAAATCGGAGAGCAAATTTGACAAGAAGCTCCACCAAACCCACCCAGAAGCTCAGTGAAGTGCAAAATGTAAAGCTAACAGAGGAAAGAGTGGTGTAGCTCAGGGGCAGGATTTTGGTTACCGTGTTCTAAGGCGTTGGTAACAGGAGCGGAGATAGGAAAATACACAGAAGGTACAACCCAGTGTGATCTTACCTGGGGGTTATGCTCCACAGTGTTGACAGCTATTGAGAGATGTCAAAGGTAGACAGCAATTTTTTAGTCACTCATGCATTTTTTTAGAAAATAATGCAATTTTTTAGTCAGTTCTCAGAAGGAAATATGCACACATGGACATGTGTGTGCTGCTACTGTCCAAGTGCCTTTTGGTGTCTCGCTTACTGAAATGCTTTCAATTAGGGTTTGGAAGCAGTTGACTCAGTCAGCCTATGTGACACTTGCCAAAGACAAAATTAGTTTCAGTCATTGAAGTTTTCCTTCCAAAAAACCAAAGCATCACTCTCCCCTTCTCTCTTTCCCTTTTATTGTGGGAGACTATTTCTCAAGTAGGTGTTTAGCTGATTTTTAATGTCATGGAAACTTCATCTGCAAATTCGTTAGAAACTCTTTAGTAATGCAGCCTAGTAAAACAGATGATTAATATTGGTAAGCTCCTCATTTGCATATTAATTAGTCTCTGTACTCAACTAATTAAAACAGGCCTGCCTATTTGTAGACTTTCTGAATTCCAGATTGTTGCTATTGCTCCCATGTAAGTGCATTTAGTGCAGCTAAGGCAGGCCATTGATACTACAAACAAGGCACCCCAAGCAGCAGTAGCAATATTTAAGGCAGTTAAGTCTATAAGGGAAGTATTTTCAGTGTTTTCTTAAAAAAAAAAAAAAAACAAAAAAACAAACCAAAACCAAGACTGGTACTTGAAATGGCAGGATATAATGACTAAGCAGTGCTTCTACTGCCTTGTTATGCTCTCGCAGAGCAGGACAATTCCAGAAACCAGACAAATCCAAGGCCAGAGGGAGAACAGCACTGCAGGGCACAAAGAAGCCCAGGCTGAGCTGCCCTTAAGCCTTACAGTACTCACTTTTCTCCAGAGATGCAGCCTAAAATTAGGCTCAGGCTGATGACTCAAGACACGAAAATTCGAGGTTAATTCTGATCCGCATTGCTTTGGAAGAATTCTGTTCAGTGCTCCAAGGCCAGGGATGGAACTGGGGCTTGGAGTCCTTGCATGTCAGCTGGATTTGCCCTCGCAAGCCTCGTTCATGGCCCCACATGCTCTGCAGAGATGCTGCAGGGGCCAGGCACTGGCTGAACTTTTATAGGTGAAGAGCTGCATTATGCCTATCCCACATTTCCCTGCTGGCTGTGTGGATGGAACAACAAAGAAATTCCCCTGTCGATTCCTTGCCTTCAAGCTTTAGCACACAAAATGCAGCCCTCCCATCAGCCACAAAGTCCTCCTCCAACCTAGAGCCAGACAGTGCTGCCCTCTCCAACAGGATCCTGCTCCTCCTCCCTTTGCCTGCCTTGAGTACACACCATTTCCTCCTCTGCCATCCGGGCCAACAGGCAGCCCCCTCGTGTTTCTCAGCCAACACACCTGCTGGTGCCATAACACTCCTCTGTCTTCCTACTACCCCTTCTAACTCCTCCTGCTGGTCTTGCTTCTGGACTTTGGCTCTTCATCTTCTTCACCTTCTCGTGCACCTGCTTTTTGTTCCTCCCAGCTGTTAGCATTCCCCACTTTGCTATCCCCACAGTTGTGCTGGACTCCTGTAGAACTTCAGGGACTGAGGATAAAACACGCAGGGCTGAGAAGCACTTTATGATGTGTATTTACTGCCATAAAATATTTTGCATGGCAGTGACAAGTAGGTTTTCTCAAACTGTCTGTGCACTGAGACTTTTCCTCACCCTAGCTGCCAATAGCAGTTTGACAGGTTTTATTATACTCCATTATTCACAACAAGCCAGGTCGCTGTGCCATATGCTGCCCAGTCCTGCTAAAGCTAACCATGTGCCCATGTTGGCTGCAGACCAAGGCTGGTTAAAACCTGCTCCGTTTTTGCATGCTATTTGTTTTGAAAGAATTGGAGACGGGCTTCATGTCAGATGTTCCAGTGTGTCTTATCACACACTTTGCTCACCCTCAGCAGCCTAAACACCAAAACAATTAGGAAATTAGGGACCCTGGTATGGTTTGGATCTGGGTTTCTTCTAGACACATGCGCTCTTCTGGAGCTGATGGAGTATAAGGCAGGAAAAGAGCCTTAAATATCTCTGGGGGCACTGGCAGTGTGTTCAGCTTGGACTGTAGCTTTAGATATGGCTTCATGCACTGCTTAGTAGGACCAA